ATATACAATGTCTTAGATCAAGCAAGGGTGAAGTAGATACATTGATCTTACTTCTTAATATTTGTTATTAAAATATTTAGATTTTTAATTCTGAACAAATCGATTAATGTATTCGTTAGGTTATATTAAATTAGCTATTAATATGTGATAAGTGATAACATATTTTCAGAAGCATAGTCTATTAATTATTTATTGTTAAATTTTACACTTATTTTACCTATTATATATACCACAACAAGTTTCCGTTTTTTTTTTTTTTTAATTTAAACTTTAAATAACTTTAAACATTAAAAGTCCTTTTTCTCAAACGATTGGATGACAACTAAAAATATAGATGTAATTACCTCAACCTTTATTGGTGGACGTTTGATAGAACAGAAAAATTTGGTGTCGTTGAGTGAATATAATAGTTTGTATTGTTTGTAAGTCATTATTATCACAATTATTTCAAAAAGTTTAGATATGGTCAAGATTCGATAACTGAGCCGCTTTTATTTATGAAATTACAAGGTGTTATTTAAGTTGATGAATAATGATTATTGTTTCTTTAATTATAGATTAAATTATTTATTTTAGACTTAATACAAATATGTAATATATTATGCCCACTAATAATAGTTGAAGGAAACCAAGTCATTAAGTATGTGACTAATAATAGTAGAATTCAATCGATTTACTATATCTAACTTTGGCTGCAGCATAAAATAAACCTAATAAACTATAATTATGTTTCTGTGCTTGTTGTTTAATTTGATGTCAATCACTATACTTAATTTACGCATTATTGAGATAATATATATTCATCACATTGACACTATCATTAATCAGACTTCAAATAATGAAGAAATCTCCAGTTGTTTCAATTGCGTAGTTCGTAATTTTTACTATATCAAGTAAATAAAAATTATTTTATTATTTTTTATACTACAAGTTATGTTTAACGAAAATATTTACTGAATATTTTATTTTGAAATATTATTGTTAAAATATGTGGAAGAAAAATATAGACATTACTTAATATTTTCATTTTCATATAAGAAAATAAGCTTTATAGTTGATTTTGAACAAACTGAAAAAATTGATATAAAATGAATATTATTATTACTTAACTTTATTGTAAATGTACGAGTATACATCACTGATAAATATACATATAAAATGTTTACATCTATATATTATTATGTTATTATAAAAAATGATTAATATTTTTATTTTTTTTTATTGTAACTTGCAATTAGTGACTTCAAATGTGGATTTTTATCCTCTTCTAAAATCCATTGGAATTATTATATTTCATGTAATGTGAATGTTTCTATTAATATTACAAATTAAACACATTGATAAATAATAAACCAACTGTTATTAATTTATTATTTTATAATTATGGTTGTTGTAATAAATTAATAGTTATTACACTTTAGTTGAAATAGTTTTTATATTGATTTTGTCATTAATTGTAAACACTATCCGTAATCATTTAAGCCGGTTATATTACGATTCGAAAGATTTCTGGTATTTAATTTTGAGAGAATGTTCGCGTTAAAATTAGGGCGATTTATTTACGTTACTAACGTTATGAAAGGTTCGTGTCCTGTGAAACCGCCTTTGAAATCGATCTGATATAATATACCTCTTAATTATGTATAAGTACCTACTACCTACATACCAAATCCAAAGTTGAAATTATTTATAAATATGTTTTTTGTTAATAATTTTAAGTATCTTACATTTGTTTTTATACTTGTGGGACATAATGTTATATTCCTAAATATATTTTTATTAATTTATTTTTCATAACGCAATTCCAAATATTTGTTATTATTATTATTTGTATCGTATTATAGGTACCTACTCAGAAAAAAACACTCTATACAATTGTAGATGCAACTTGCATTTTAATATTTGCAATAGATTTTAAATTACATGTATTACTAATATTACTATACTTCTTACAATATGATTTAGATTACAAAGTATATTTTTACAGTAAATACAATTTTAGATCATTACATTAACTAGGTATTGAGTCTTAAATAAATTAGAAGTTAAAGTGAATTATTAAAATATTTTTATAAATATAATATTAATGATTCTGGTTTCGGTGTTGCATTAGTTATGAAGGACGATTGTGATAGGAATGATAGAATACTATACCTAATGTATATTGTAATTGTAATTGTAATACATTATTGTTTCACATTATTATAATGTTCAAGAATCATAATTCAACAGATTTTAAATAATTAGACAATATTTGGTATTAATCTCTAATACACCACTAATAATGCTATCCATTAGCTAATAAAAATAAGTTATTTTTTAACCAATTAAAATCGAGTATAACATTGTCTTTATAAAAATATAAATGTACTTTGAATAAATAATTATACTTGAAAATGAATTTTCCATAGCAAATTACCAAACAAATCACACGTTTAGATTCGCCCAAACTAAATCAGTAATACCAATCAGTTATTAGTATTATTATGGATAATATGGATTACTTATCTGTTAACTGTTGCATGATTATCCATAACATGTATGAGAGATCAATTTACCGAAGAACAGTATGTAGTACTTAGTGGGGCTAGTAATATAAAGCACAATTATTGTTTATTCGATGTCAGCCAGTAATAAATGCCGTAGCCCGTATATAAGATTTTTAGATTTAGGTACCTACCTAGTTGAATGAAAAAATATTGCATGTAGCATTCAAGTATCAAACTATAATTGTCGTCTTTCGGCCGGTTAAGTTCAAATTATTTTTTTAATAAATATAAAAAAAAAAAACATTTATATTATACATATAATATATTTTACATTTTAAGAAAATATTTATATATGTTTCTTTTTATCATTTTTATTAATGCCATAAAAAGTAACATAAATAGGTATAGTATATATTATATAAGTATTGAAATTCTCAGAAAAGAAATGTTTTCAAAATATACACGAAACAATATTTCCTAAAACGCTATTATTTTTTGGTATAATAATAGTGTTTACTAATAAAATAATGTATAGTGCAAATTAAAAGAATATAATTCTTTATATTATATCAACAAATTTTATTTTTTGAGTAGGTAATATCATTGAGAATATATATTAAAATACTCAATGGTAATATTAAAGAATATTTTTTTACGTCTGTTTGTGTTATTTCAATTTTATTCCTGTTGTCAAATTAACTTACTGTACTATATTCAACAGGTAGATTGTAAATATATTTATTTGAAAGAAGGTTAAGTCACTCTGCTGTACCTATAAAGTTAGTACAATAGTACATATCAAATGCAGTAAAATTGAATTGAGTTTTATGAATACTTTTGGGTTATAAAAATTGAACCCGACTAATATTTTTTGGCTGTTTGTCTCTTCAGCCTATAATAGTTATCCAAGAGACACCACGTAAAATTTAGCTGAGTAATCTTTCAAAAAATTGTGTGTTTTAGTTTACAGCGTTTATAATAACTGATAAAAAAAAAAAAAACACAACTTTCCTTTTAACACAGTTATTAATTTTTTGTCTAGTAAGTTCTTTCGTCGCATTTTTCACAATTGTGTTCGTTTAAATTTTTTTAGATAACATAAGTAAAAATTTAATCATGATAAAATAATTAAATAGATCAAAAGATAATTAAAAAAAAAAACACTAGATAGTATAAGACTTTTTAGAACAAGTCCCCCATTGAACCTCATCGTTATTTAACATTTTTTGAAATAGAAATTTATAAGCCTTTTAATAATTAAAATTGTTTTTAGTTTTTGATCCACATATACATTCCATGATTTCACACTCGTAATAAATTGAGTGTTTACGATTCACAAAGTATTCAAAACATCTTTGGTGATTTTGAACGTATTTATGCCACTAAGCCGTTGACGTCGTGCGAAGTTTAACAGATTTCAATTCAAATACATAAGTAGCCAGGATTTAATTCAATGTTATCCATCAAATCATTGGCGTATTTAAGATTTCATTTGGGGGGAGGGGGCGGTGTATGACTGAAATTCCCTTTGCCAAACGTCCCAGCATATTATTATTTACTGATAAAATGATGATAAAAGCAAAATAACTTATGTCTAATACTATTTTATAATATCGACGTGAATCGTTAAAACTATTTTTACAAAAACTAAAATAATCATTGATCAAAATGTACTTCTAACCATAAATCTAATATATATATATATTATTATACATAATTATTAAACGCATTGAACCTGTGGCAAAGTTTTTTTTTTCCAATGACTTGATTTAAAACTTAGATACCGAGGACTTAGTCCCTCCCCCCTAGTTACGCTGATTAAACTTAAAATTATGCGAATTAAAATAAAAGTAAAAGTATTAAAAGATAATTATTTTAAAACTAGATATAAATATTCTATTTTTATATTAATGACATTGATTATAAATAATAGTAGGTATATTTAAAGTGAATAATATGATACCCATAGATAATTGAACTATGAAGAACTATTCAAATTACGTTTGAATTAAAAACGTCAACAGTTTAATATTTTAATGACTTGTGTGGAAAAATATCTCCATATACTTTCTATTTGTTTAAACTCCATAGTATTAAAATAAGTCTATTATAATTATACATATAGCCCATATACATATGTACCTATTATAATGGCCCTATACAACGATTAATAACCTAAATTCATTACATTTATACACCATAACTCAATAGGTATTATATTGCATGATTGAATTATTATTGAACACGAATTTTCAATTGCTATTTTAATGTATATTATACATTGTATTCTATTGGCTGTGAATATAATATTTACGAAGTGATTTCCGCGGTCAAGTTGTGTAATGTTTCGCAAATAAAATACACTACATTCATTTTCCAATTTAATCCTGTACGATAAACACGTGAAAAGAGTTACAGTAGCAGAATGTGGAAATAACTTTTAATAATAGACTTATTATAAACAGTTTTAATAGTTTAAATCAATTGGATATTTAAAAATAAAGGTCAATATAACAATAATATGATAGAAACATTTATTTTACGAGATAAATGTGTAAACTCTATCGTATTCAGTTGGTATCTACATTTTTACAAAATATACATTATGACCAATACGACTACAAAAAATGATGAAGTTATCCCAATTATTTTTTTTAAGGAAGAATAATTAGGTTCGGGCACATTTACTTTTATAGAACAAGGAAATTCCCCATTTTTTTCAATACCTAACTGTAATGCCGCTTCTCTGGATATCTCCAAAAGGGTTTCATTACTCTTTTTTTCAAAGCCATTTATTGTAACATCTATGGTCTTGTTCCCGTAACTTAATTCGACTTGTGTGTAAGGTAGCAATAAAGAGTGAGCTGCGTTAATCCCATACATAACGAATGCATTATTGGATTCGTTTTTGTTGAGCGAACTGTTGTAAAAACAGAATCCCTTTTCAACTTTATGTCATGAAAAAAAAATAAAACGAATATTATTAAAACAGTTAATTTTATTTCCGTTGTGTTGTATTAATGATATTTCTAAATTAATACTTCTAGGATGTTGTGTTATGTTTTTACTCTCCAAACAAAAACTGGTGTGTGGATTGCCTGTAAAACGGCAATTGTCAGAACAACAGTCACTGTTTGCCAAACATCTATCTCCGAAATCAGCGCATCTGTTTTCGCTACAGGTTATTTCTGAAATTGTTTATAAATACAAATTATTATACTAATACGACGATAGACATGTAATATGTACGCCGTACGCGTATAGAGGTTTAGGGGATGTACACACATATAGACACGTTGATGCGTCTGCGGTCTTAATTTTACCATAATTACTTATTTATATTAATTAGTTAATTACATATTATAATTCACCACGAGTCTCAAACAAAACCTTAAAAAATAAACTATGAATAATGAAAATAATTGTTTTCCTAAATTAAAGGTATTTTTTTCTAATACCTACTTACCTAAATAAAAAGAAAAAAAAATAGTAATACAATTTTATTAAATAGGTAAATTGTAAATGTTTTGAAGGTATCTTTAAAAAAATAGCCAATTTTAGATAGTTTTATGGATACAATTTAAGAATCAATATTAAGAAAGAATGCAGTGCACAACTATTATGATACCCGCCTACAAACAATTTTTACCTCGTGCTTTCGGTAGACGATTTTCGGGATGAATTTAAATATTTGATTGAGACTTGCAATGTTGCTAATAAAGTAATAATCATGTCAATCATGATTAAAGTAAGAATAACGAGGTCTTAATGTCAATGCATAGGTACTAGTTACGAGGTACCTATCAACAACCAATTTCAATGAAAGAAGAATACAAAAAATGTAATTAAGACGTAGTTTCCATTAAATGCACTGAAAATATCCCTGATTGGAGAAACTGTCAGTAATTCAAAATTGATTTAAACATTGATTTATTATAAATGTAACGATTTACTCGCTTTGTACCTACATAAACAGATAATATTTTAATCCATTTGCTAAAAACACAAAAACACTTAAATATAGATACTTAATAATATAATAATATTATATTCTATACCGCTATAATGTTATTGAAAATATTCTTGCACGTACTTTTTACACACCGTAGTGATGGTAAGTACGCTCAATTTCCAAAACGTAAAAGTTTAAACATATATCAATGAATGCCGTATGGATAGTAAATTAAATTACTTGATATAATATATAAATAAATATATATACCTATGTATAAATGCCTATACGCCTGAGCCTAATACAATTTTTCAATTGTACGATTAATAAACATAACGACAGCAGTGAACGTCCTCATTGTTACCTATACGTGTTTAACATTAGTCCTCTAAATGTGTAAAAATACAAAATAGTTATTTCGTATCTGTATGTACCTATACATGGGAACAAGTTAGGTACGTCATGTCGTCTCATTTGCAAAAAATAAAAAATATTTATATTCACCTGGAATAGTAAAAACCGCGAACAGCGCGATCGATACAATTATTAAAGACGTCTTCATTTTTGTTCTCGGTAGGAATTCGTGCGTAGTAATATGTATGTGTGTTGCAAATAATGATGTTACACGGATTGTTGTGCGTCAATCAACCGTTAGAGATCAACGTCAAATGAAACAATGAATACTATGTACCTACCGAAATGACTTACTGTCCAGCGATAATATGATGTAAGACGATAATTCATTTCAATAAAATTTAATTGATTGAATTATGCTAATCGTTATTTATTTAATCGGGATTTTAGTTTCGATCGTCGTATATTATAATATATTACATAGGTATTTATCTTTTTACATGTTAATTTTACAATTAAAACGATTCTCCAACGATAATTGTTATGTGATTAACCCTAACATTCACAGTTCGTAAGTACTATTATAACACTTCAGTTCTTTGTTATTTTTAATAAATACATGTACGTACACCGCACGTTAACAATAATTTATTAATAATCAGTGTATTTCAACAGTATTTTATTATTGTCTATGTAATTTTTGAACTAAGCAATAAAGATAAATGAGCTTAGCATTTATTATTAATTATAATCGATCATTCAATTATTGATGATTTGAAATTTTTATTAAATTGTGTCACGAAATCGTGTGGAAAAAAAGGGAATTATGCATAAATATTATAGATAGGTATCTACCGTATCGACCTATTTGCCTAATGAAAAATTATACATACCTACCTTTGAAACGTAAATTTCATAATACTTTTCCCTACATCACTTTCTACTGGTATTTTGAAGAATAGATTTGTGGATATCATCGATTCAAATTCCCAATATTATATTGCATAATACTATGACCATTTTTCGGAGTTGTAGTAGGAATTGTATACTTTAGATTCTGAGCGGAGCAATAAATGTTTTGATTTTATATTGATGTGTGTTTATTATTAATATTTTTTTTTTGTGCCAGTCGTCATCTTTTAAGGCAAAATAAAAATGATTAGATTTTTAAGTTAAAGAGTGATTACTGATTACAAATTTAATGTAATCGGTACGTTAAGATTTCAAGTACCTATTTATCAAAATAATCGAGAAAAACGAAAAAAAAATGCAAATAACTAAAGCCCCATACTATGTCTCGAGTGATGATATATACTCTCCACAAAGATCTCTTTTTCCCAACAGCACAATACGTTACCATGACATATTATTCTATAAATGAACTACCTTATTCATTCTCCACAACCATTGCTACCTCATAATTTCAAAATTGCCCGGCTCGCGACTCCACTATTCCTGGTGGCCTCAGGAGGTGCATAAGACGAACTTTGTGTCGTGACCTATTGTAAATTAATTAACCTTGTCATTTCGGCAAGTTACGAAGTTCCATAACTGGACGGCTTCTTCTCTCAATAGTCTTCAGTCTCTAAAATGTAGCTAAATTTATCTAATTTATTTAATCTTATTTCTTTAACATATTTTCATCATTTGTACTTACTGTAAAAAAATATATATATATATATATATATTATTAAATTGAAAATAATAAAACATGAAAACCTACGGAAAAAACAACTCTAAAGATTATAATCCTATAGTTATAATGCAATATCATTATTATTTCGATATAAATATATATATATGTTACAGTAAATGATGTTATATCAGAAATTAACGTTATTCGCCGGTTATTAACGTTATTTACCTACGAATGTGGGAATTATCGTTATTTTCTAGTGAATAACGTTAATAACCGTATGATTTGGGAAATTTTGATCTGATTATAAAATAAAAGAGGTTATTGCGGAAGATTTAAAAAAATAACCAAATAACCAATCATCAAAGAAGACAAAATCGGAAATTAAATCATAGAAATCGCAGAAAAAAATTCAGAACTTGGTACTTAAATATTTTTTAATTATTTAACGATAAATTTCCGAATTTTAAATATAACAAAAATAAAACTAAAATATAAATATTTGAAAATTATTTTAAATATTTTTTTGATGATTGTCAAGAAAATATTTGTATTGCATGTAAAAATTCAAAAAAAAATTTAAAAAAACAAGGAGAGGAAATGATGAAATTTTCTAAAGAAAAGTTTCCTCAGCTTGAAATAGGCTTAACTGTATGTGTATTTATACCAAACGTTGATAGAGCTCGTGGTTCTATGCAAAATATACTATCAGTTGTCACTCAAGTTGAACATGATTTATACAAACTCTGTAAGTTAATTCTTAATGAAAAAATATACTATTAATATTAAAATTTGTTTTATTATTTTATAAGTACGGAATATAGTTTTCTTAAATATTATTTCACATGCCAAAAATAGCTGTTTGCAAATAAAATCTATTAGACATGGACAATGTGATAAAATTAGCAGATGGTAGACAGTTGACACTGAGGGAAATAGCTAGTAATAATTCGGTTGCGAGCCCTCGAAGGTACCAGCGTTGTCATTGCAAGACTAGTTGTAATAATAATAAACATTGTGCCTACCTTGGGGCTGAAAAATTATGTTATATTAAATGTCATGGGAGTAAAACTTGTAAAAATAAATAAAAAATAATAATGCATTTATTCTATTTTTAAAAATATCTGGGTACTTACATAATTTTTCAAATTGTAGTATTTGAGATTCATGCGCTTATCTGATTTATAACATCAATTACCTGTGTATTTGGTCATTAACGTGATTATCCAGTTTATAACGATAATTACCTGTATATTTGGTAAATAACGTTAATAACCGGTGAATAACGTTAATTTCCATTTAACATCATTTACCGTAACATATATAATACAAAAAAGATAGGCAAGCACGTTGATACGGCTCTGCTATACAATATAGATATCTTACTATAATAGATGTGTTAAATTTTAATTCAATGACGATTTATTGTTCATGAACAAATGATTCTGAGCGGAGACGGATCATCAGTCTGTATGAATGTTGATGATTATTGATATTGATCGTCCAGAAACTCTGAAGTCGTGGATTTACGTAAAAAAAATTTTTCTAATTCAATAGCTAGTTTTGTACCATGGTAAAATGAAAAAGTGTTAAAATAAAATTGTTTTCATAAAAATGAATTTTTTATACGTTCAGATTTTTGGATTATGTAAATAATATAATTGTGACTAAAAAATTCTTTTAAGTAGAACAGATTAATTAAGTACCTAATCCAAGCATATTAAAATTTTTTTTTTATATTTATTTATGGTTTTCAGTACTAAACTATTACAGCTCGACAATTATGTAAAATAAAAATATAGGTGGATAATATTAGGTACATAGTAATACTTATATAGTTATATATATCTTACATGATGACAAGTATAAAATAAAAATATAAGATTATTCATACGATAACAAAATATATTAATATAATATAATGAGTAATAATTGGATAATAAGTGAAATATTAACTAAAGAGAAAAATGTTTATGTAAAAGGGAAATTATTGGACCAATTAAAAAATTTAAATTAGAAATAAATTGCGATATCAAAGTTAAGACGATTTCTAGGCGAAAGTTATCAGTAGTACGGCTTCGGCATAGGATTTAGTTCAAGGTTAAGCGTAAGCTATTCTTGAACCTTGTTTAACGGAGCTTTTGGAGATGTTTTATGAATTTTATTTGGTTTCTGTTTGAATGGGGCGAAGGTTTCTTGTTGTGAGACAATTTGCAATGTGTGTACGATGGACAGCTGATTGGTATAAAATAATAAAATTTAATCTAAAAATTTCCTCGTGACGAGTACTTACCTAAAAAATTATTCTCTAATCAGATAGACGATAGTCATAGATGTCCCATCTATCTCTAGTATAAGCCATAAATAGTATTTAGATAGTTCTAAGTATAGTTCTATAGTAAGTTATAGTATCTAAGTATTAAGTAGAGTACTAAGCACTTTGTTTTTATAAACCATTTTCTAGTCCCTTTTAAAATTATTATCTATAGCTCTTGAGTTTTGATCTTGATCGATTCCTTACCAAATAGAATCTTTGTGTGTACTGTCTATATATTTTTAATAGAGTGATATAAATCTTACAACATTACGTACTCTCTTGCATCTTTTAATAATTGTTCGTTGATTCAAAAAATCAAATAAACTTTAACCTTTAAAACTAAAATGCAACAATTTACTATTTAATATTTTGTTGAAAACTAAGTTCGGGTATAAACTAAGTAACTCTAAGTTCGTAAGATTTTAATTCATCTAATTTAATTTAATTTCATATACATATTATATGAGTATTGGGCCTTACTGAGAAGACAAATGTGTAATGTATGTTATACAACATAAAAACTTCGGACACCGACCGGGCGGTATGGATACGGTCATAATGATATCATTATTTATGTGAACATCTTAAAATTAATTAAAAATGTCAATGTAGTATAATTCATAACAATATATTTGTAAACTAAGTACAATAAAATAATTAACATTGTTATTTATCGTATAAATAAGTAATTTCTTCCAAATTTCAATTTTAAATGTCTTTAAAAATAATTTAATTTGTATGCTATTTTTAGATTTTATAGGATCACTATAAACTACTTATGAGGAAGTCTGTATCAAACTTTTAAAACTAAGGTATAAAAATAAACATTTTTATGAATTTTTAACTATAAAATAGTTTAGGATTTCGTCAAAATTCTAAATCTCAAATGCATATAAAACAAAATTGTGCCTATATATTTTTAATATTTTTGTATAGATGTAAGATTAATTTATTAAGATCCTATAATACCTACATTTTCAAAAATTTCGAGTCAGTAAATAAGTTTTAATTGTCATTAACAGAAAAAAAACTAAAAAAAATTGAAAATTTATCATGTCTATGAATAACTTAAACAGTCAAAATATTTTAAAAATTTTTAAAATGATAATATAAACAGGTAAAATATTCTAGTATTTACGGTTATTTGTTTTCAAGTTATACCAAAATTTTTTTTTCAAAAATTAGATACGCCTAAAAATTACTGTTTTTTTTTTTAAATTTTTTTATTTTCCCCGATTATAATTTATTTTAGATACTCTAAATATCATTTAAATACAATTTCCTATCAGAAACTCCCATTTTTCAAGATTGAAATATTTTTACTGTCCCAAAAAGTGACGAGACAGAAAACTGAAAAAATACATTGTAAAATTAATACATA